ATAATATGGTTATGTAAACTTATTATTATTTTTGTTTGTGATAAAAGAAATTTAATATAAAATATAAATAATTACTTTGAGAAAATAAGTAAATTTTATTCAATCAGAAAAAAAAATATAGATAAGTAGAAAACCTGAGGATTTATCCAATGTCAACTGAACTTCTTGCCCTTGATTAAGAAGTTGAACATGCTGATTTCCCCAAATTATCTTATAATTTTCATCAAATCTAGCATTTTGTGTTGCATCACTAACTCTAAGAAAGAAAATTACTTCAGACAAAATGACCATCATCTTCGTTATCATCCATAGATGAAGATCCATTTGATCTTTGCAAAAAATTGTGATTATTGCTAAAAATTAACCCGGACAAATTAAGTTGCTTGTGTGTAGGTATAAATAGAATGTACAAAGAAATCCAACAAATCAATACATGCTTGTGTGTAGGTATTAAAATACGAATGGGAATATTTATACATGATATTCTTTTTGCATTTTCTACAAGATATTTGGTTTCAATATCCTCATACACACAATCCATAATATAACTAGATAATATAAATTAGTTTATATAAATATTTAAAAGTTGTACATAAAATCATTTGTTTAATTATAAATTTATATAACATTGACCTATAAATATTTAATTAAATTTTTTTTCACATACGTATAAATATTCATATTGTTCATATTGTTTTTAGAAGTGACATTAATATTAAATAGTTATAAATACCAAATATATTTTTTCTAATCCATTTTCTTGACATGGCCCTGAGATTAATTAAAACATGCGTTTTCATTTGTTTCAATCAATAAAATTATTTATTACCCATTTTCATTAACATGTCTCAATTCATTTTATTCTTCATTTTAATACCAAACTTGTTTATTTTGACTATGTAAAAATAGGTTCCCATTTCGCCCATCTAGCAATTTGCGGTGCAATAATAGGGGAGAAGATTTACAAGTAGCCCATAAGGTAGTGATTTACAGGTAACCCATAACGTAGTTGATGTGCTAAAAATTCAACTCAGTCCACATCTAAGAGTTCCCTCCCAACCAATGAATGAGTGTCAAAAACCTTCTAATAACCTACACAAGGTACAGCTTAAACCTACCTTCTAAAAATAGAATTTGACCAAAAGTCAACCCATACCAAAAGTTAACGTTCAAAGTCGAAGTCAACAACCAATATTGTCCAACATTGAATCTTATACCGTGATCGCCCCTTGGTTACGTCGTGAGAGCACACTTGACCTGATTCTAACTCAACCAATATCAAAAATGGTTTTTGGAATTTAACATGTTTTATTTGGAAATGATCTTGTGAAAATAAAACTAGTGACTATTGATAAATTCCGTTACGACATATTATTTCGAACTAAAAACGGTTCGTGATATCTAGCAAATAACGTCATTCAACCGCAAAATTTAATTATTATTTCAACACGTCTACGGTTTATGAGTATTTAAAATTCTATATTCAAACTTCTGCCTAATAGTTGTGATGGATCAGAATTTGAAAATTATACGAACCAAAGCAACGGAACATGGTTAGCCATATTTCTCAAGCAGCTAAATATCACAAAATTATATCTTGTTCAATCAACCTATATTTAATTTATGAAAATATAAAATAGATTATTATGAGGCATATTTAAAATGTACCTAAATGTTTATAAATAAAAAAAAATCAAATATAAACATTTAATTTCCAATACATAAAAATTACAATGCTATTATATATATATATATATATATATATATATATATATATATATATATATATATATATACATGATGTGATCACATCAAATGTTACCAAAGATTAGTTCTTATCCTCCTTCCTCTTCTCTTATAAATCTCAAGCTCTCCTCATTCTCATCTCTTCCTTCCTTTTTCCAAAAAAACTCTCTCAAGAAAAGCTCTCAAACATCATCATTTTTCATCCCCACACACCCCTTCTAAACCCACTAAAACCGAGAGCAAGAAGAAGGTTGTTGCCCCTCGGTTTTCAACCACCATTTCATCCCTTTGGACATTCCTTATGCTTGGTATTTTCACCTCAAATCACCTCTGAAGTTAGTGGTTTTTATGCTCCAATATAGGTACTCAGAATAGTAGCTAACCCACTCTTTTTCTTGCTTCTTTGCTGGAAATTTCGAGACAACAACCACCCAAAATAGTGGTTGTTTTCGAGCATCAAAACAACCCATAAAAGTATTCCAATTTGTTGTCCATCTTTAGAATCATAGCAGCCCATAAATTGTTGTTTTCAAGTACTTTAAACCCCAAAAACATTTACCTTTCATCCTTCAAAAAGCATGGGTTTCAACCTCCTTTTGGAAATACACTTTAGATCTAAGTAGTAGCTAGGTAATTTTTTGATTTTACTATTTCCAATTGTCATAAAACTCACTTTTTTAAGTGTGTTAAAGCTTGATAAAAGTCTAACTTATTAGTAAATATATGTCTGTATGTTTTAAGACATACCAATAAGTACTCAAATCACAAGCTTGGGTGGAACCGGAAACCTCACAAATCCTTCTCAAACCGAATAACTTCACACGACAAACATGAGTATCTACAGCCCTATTTTATTGTTTTTTAACATTTTCATGGGGGGGGGGGGGGGGTTACACATATAAAGTAGATTTAATGTTAAAAGCGTACTATTTAGGTTTATATATATATATATATATATATATATATATATATATATACATATATAATATATATATATATATATATATATATATATATATATGATGTCATATTGGTGTTATGGCAACTTTCTGTTTTACATGAAAACTTTTGTTCAAATAATACTCTTATTTATAGTTAGTGCATGAAAAACCATCAAATATGTCATGAAAACTTATGATCTTAAATCAAACATTTCATAAAAACTTATAAGTGATTATAAGTCTTTAAATACATAAATAAAGACTTGTTGTAGATAAGAGAAACACAGCTTATGACATTGTTTAATTTACACACTTTAAGGACATAAAGATGTTAATTAAATAAGGTGTTCATAAAATAATCATATGAAAAGTCTTAGGG